TTCTTGGGTTACCTTTGTTGGAGGAGTTGATTATCTTTTGAGCATATTTCCCCCATTTTATCAAAAAACCAAAAAAATAAGAAAATATAAAAACCAAAAATATTTACTTTTCATTTAACCCCCCCTCCCCTTTTTGTTTATATTTATATAAGTTTTATACTAAGTTATATTATAAGTTCTTTGTTTATATAAGTTATATTTATTAGTTTATATATTTATTTAATTAAAAGTTTTATAAGTATTATCATTTGTGTAGTAGTTAATTTTATTTTTTTAGTGACAATGTGTTTGCATGCTAAATTGGTTTTCAGAAGTACAAATTTTCTCCGTGGGATCGACCCTTACTTGCCCTAGCTATAGTTTTTATTTGATTATATTTTGGGGGTTAGTTAAGGATATTTTATAAATTTTTAATTTGTTTTGGACTACACGACAAGTCCCCAACAAATTTTGGCGCCGTTGCCGGGGAAGGTTTGTAAGAAACCAAGAGTTGATGAAGTAGCCTCTTTTCTTTTGTTCAAGACTGATTTGCATGTTGTATAATCAATATGGAGGTTATTTGTTCTTAATGAACTAAAATCAGTGGGTTTTGTTTGTCTTGATGCTGAAATATATGATCTATTTGCAGTTTTTATAAAATTTCAGGCCTATTTTTCATAAAAATTCCATTTTGACACTATTTTCTGCATTTTTTTTGCTGGTTTATATATCCAATTGATCATATATGTTGCAAATGTGCTGCATTGTTCATTTTCTTATGGGTACAACATGTATGGTTTGATTAGGCAAGAGTTGTATGCTTATCTTGATGCCTTTAATGCTAAATATGCAAGGAAAAATGATTTTACTTGCTGTTTTTTTATAAATCTGCATTACTCTTGCTGTTTTTGTTCCTTAAGAGTGCTATATTGCTTGAAATTTGAAATATCATTGCTCTATCTTGCTTGGGGACAATACTTAGAAGCATATCATGAGGTTTCTATGCTGATTTTGATGCCTATTGTGCTGGATTTTTGATAAAAACTGATCCAAGTGCTGTTTTTTTTTTTTTAAAAAAAAACTGCATTCTTTTTTTTATGTGCAAACTGATTTTTATGTTCCAAAGATGCTTATGCACTAAATTTTGAATCCTAATTGTTAAAACTTGCATGGGAACTAATGTGGGAGCATTTAGCATGAGCTTTTAATCTTGTCTTGATCGATATATGCTCCGTGTTGCTCTCAAAGTGAAAAAAATGCAGAAATCTATTTCAAGGAGACTTTGAAGCTTATTTGTGCAACTTTAAATTTGATTTTTCCATTCTTAATTGAACATAAACTGCTATTCTTAGAGCTAAAGTCAATTATTGATGCTTATCTTGTTTTTATCTTTTTTGGGGTGTTTTAAAGAAACACATGTTCTTATCTTACTACTTCATGCCTTAAGTGAATATTTGTTTGCTGGTAGTAAGCTTTGTCTAGTCAAAGACTTTAAATCGGGCGGCTTATGGGAGGCAACCCACTTTCTTTTTAAGTTTTTTTTTATTGTATTGTTCTTTGAAAAAGGGTTCTTTTACTTCTAACTTTTAGTTATTGTTGCAGTTTTTCTCTTGTTTTTTTTCTAACATGACCCACTAACATTTTGAATCATTTTTTTTTAAATTTTTCTTTGAATTTCTTATGCTTACTTCTAACTTTAACTTCTTTAACTTCTTGTTGTTGTACTTTTTTTTCCCTTTTGATGGTTAATATGGTTTTTATTCTCTTTCTTTTAATAACCAACTTACTTTTATTGTTTTTCCCCTTCTATTCTGATGTAATTGTATAGCATCATTTTTTTTCTTTAATTTTTGAAAAACCCAAAAAATATAATATTGAAAAAAAGTGTGTTGCTTGTTATTTGAGTTTAAATATTTTTTACTTCATTTATGCTTCTAACCATACCTTTGAGTGAGAATGCAAGACTTGTTAAGTCATAGGTTGGAGCATCTCTTTATGGAGTTAAGTCCTGCACAGTTAGGTGCAAATCTTTTTTCAAATAGCGATTCTTGGTGCTCGGGTGTTGGTATGTTATTTAAGTTTCAGTTTTCTTAAGCCTTGGGTGTTTATATTTGATCTTTCATGGGCTGAAAATTGAAAATTCTGCACTTTTAAGGCGGAATTTTGGGTACTAATGGGAAAATCTGACCTCTCGGGTGTTATAATATGGTCATATTTAAGCTGAAAGTTGAGGCATGCGCATTGTTTACAGCTGATTTTTGGATACTAATGAAAAGTTCTGCATTTTGAAAAGTTATTTTTGGACTTGTAAGCTGATTTTTTGAGTGCAAAATACAAATTTTACAGCTTAAAGGTGCTGAAATAGAAAAAATCTGCAATTTTTTCTTAGTGATCAATCTGATTTTTGAGTTTAATAGATGCATATGAGCTGCATGCTCTGCACGAGCATGACATAACTAACCTTCTCATATACAATATTCTGCTTTGAAAATGCAAAAGAGTGCTAGAATCTGTTCTCAGGAACTTGACTTGAAGCTTGAAATCTGCATTTCTTTAAATCTGATTTTTTATCTCGTCAATATTAAAAGACTTGGTCTTAGTCATGTTTTGCAGTTTTTAGGTCCATCGAGCACTTTAAGGAGGGAAAAGTGATGAGTTGGTGCTGCGTATACTTTGTTTTTTAGTTGCATTTCCCTTTCCCCTTCTCTCTTTGCTAAGTTAGTGCTTGCTTAATATTGTCGTTTGCATATCATATAGATGCATCGAGGACTATGCACATTTTAAGTGTGGGGGGAGTTTCTCACGATTATCTTATTATTTGGGAAATCATATTTTGGGGCAAATTTTTTCTTTTCAAAATAGGTCTTGGGTCCAAATATTTTTCATTCTTAATTGCATATCTTCTTATTTAGATCAGAGCATTGTTTTCAAAATTGACCCAAAAACCTCATCGTTTTTTCTTGAGCTTTATTCTGAAAGTTGACAAATGTTTCTTTTACAACCCCACCTTTGAGTCTTGATGCCCATTTTCTCAGTAAATGACCTTTAAGTTTGAATCCTTTTAGGTTTCCTTAGTTTTTTTTCTAGAACTGGCCATCCACATACTATTTAGATGTTGTTTTAATCATTTTTTGAAAGAAACAAGTTTTAGAAACATTATATTTTTTTAAAAAGTTTTTTTTTATTTTTTAGGCTTTTTTTTGCTACCGTTGCCATTAAGCCGTTTAGACCGTAGGATTCCCTTAGAAAACTTTTTTGTGGCAACTTTAGAGCATTTTTTTAGAACCCAAATAATCCATTATTTAGTTCTATATTTTTATAGGACTTGTAGCTCACTTTGTTTTTAAAAAAGTTTTGGGCATAAAGTCTTAAGTGTGGGTGTGTAAGGTGCACTTTGTTTTTCTTGATGATGATAAAAAGTTTGGTTTCTTTTGGTCTTTTGAGCGAGGACGTTCAAGTCTTAAGTGTGGGGGTATTTGATACGTCGTTTTTGGGTTAGTTCTTTTTATTCTTTTTTATGCATTTTTTATATTTTTAGTATTTAATTTTTAGTTCTTTAGTTTAGTTTTATTTTAATTCTCATTTTTACAATCTTTTATTTTTCTTTCATAAATAGTAGTTTTTTAATCATTTTTTACATTCTATTATTTTTATTTTATTTTTCTTAACCAAAAAATTATCAGATATCTTATTGTTTGGAGAAAAATATAGCAAAAGGCCAAAACGGAGTTCAAGTTTGAAAAGAAGAGATTGAATTTGGCCCAAAGCCCAAAGCCATCAACAAATACAACCCATCTCTGCTCCCTCATTCTAAGTCAACGAAGAAAGGAAAAAAATGCGCTCCATCTCCTTCTTCTTCGAAGAGTAACCGCGACGACCAAGCCTCCAACGGCTCTTCTCCAACGTTCGCCAAAATCAATGCTCCAACGGAAGAATTTGGCTCTCCATTCTATAAATTGAAGCTTCACAAGGGGGAAA